AAAAAATTATGGGCCAATATTGTTTATGAACACATGTTAAAATCTTTAAGCAATAACTAGTCAAAAATATAATTATATAAAAAGTAACATAGCAAGACTGGCTTTTAAAACTGTTTTTAAGGCAGCCTTTAAGCCCAGCACTCAGAGAAGCAAAGGCAGGCAGATACCTTTAAGTTTGAGACCAGCCAGGTCTACAGAGCAAGTTTCAGGACAGCCAGGACTGTTACACAGAGAAACCCTGTCTCCAAAAAGAAAAGAAAGAAAGTAATAAAAAGAAGAAAACAGCTAAGCATCTGATTGTTAGCTGTGTGCTTCATGTCTTGTACACTGCTGCCTGGGTTTCAGACAATACTTCACAGCCTCCCTTGCAGCTAGGTGACTCCATGTGATACAGTTACAACAAATATAATATAGTTAAAGGTGCTGCAATTTTCAGGAAGTCTCTTATAAAAGAAGACAGTATCATCCTCCTCCCAATTGCTAAGAAGATAGATGTGGTAAGTATAGTTTTTGAACATCAAATTTTTTGTATATGAAATAATACATGAAGGTAGAAGAGCAACAGATGAGAAGGAGTATAGGGTCCTGACACTACATTACCTATGTCGAGGCTAGCTTTTTTTAAGTGATAAATACACTTGCTTATGACACTACTGAGGTCCCATTAAAGCCAAATTTAATCTAAGCACACAATAAAATCAAGCAGTTATCCCAAGTCTGAAAGACTAGACCAACGTGGAAAATTTATCCACATACTTTATCACATTCCACATGGAAAAATCAAGTCCAAGATCATTTCAGTAGACTCCCAACATTCAATCAAATTCAACTAGGATCTTATATTTTTTTTAAAAAAAGATAAAGATGTAGTTTGGTGGTAGACCTATTGCCTAGCTTGTGCAAAGGCATTTTCGTTCCAGAACCAGGAAAAAAAAAAAAAAAGGAGGAAGGGAATAGAGGTTTTTCTCTTTCTTCCTTCCTTCCTTCCATCCCTCCCTCCCTTCTTTCTTTCTTTCTTTCTTTCTTTCTTTCTTTCTTTCTTTCTTCTTCCAAGACAGGGTTTCTCTGTGTAGCCCTGGCTGTCCTGGAACTAGCTTTGTAAATCAGGCTGGCCTCGAACTCAAGATCTGCCTGTCTCTGCCAGCCTGATCTACAGAGTGAATTCCAGGACAGCCAGGGCTAAACAGAGAAACCCTGTCTCAAAAAACAAACAAACAAAAAGGTGTGTGCCACCACCAACTGGCTTTTTTCCTTCTTTCAATAATTGTTTATTTTATTTCATGTTTATGAGTGTTTACTTGAATATGCCTGGTGCCCCCAGAGGTCAGGAGAGGGCACTGAACCTTAAGGTACAGACAGTTGAGAGCTGTGTCACATAAGTGCAGGGAATAGAACCTAGATCCTCTACAAAATTAACAAGTGCTCTGAACACCTGAATCATCTCTCTAGCCCAAGGGTTTTCATTTTTAAAAACCCTTAACAGAGCAGGAATAGAAGAGAATTCATAAAAGAACAAAAATGATACTCATCAAAATTTGTTACAAATGTCCAAAGCTACATAGAGAAACCCTGTCTGGGGGAGGGGGTGGAATTGTTACAAATGTATTCTTTAGAAGTCTATCTTGGGGGCTGGAAAGATGGCTGAGTGGTTAAGAGCACTGGCTGCTCTTCCAGAGAACCCAGGTTTGATTTTCAGCACCCACATGGCAGGTCACAACCATTTGTAACTATAGTTCTAGGGACCCAATGCCCTCTTCTGGCCTTTAGGGGTCCTGCATACATGTGGTACACAGATACACAAGCAGGCAAAATACCAGACACATAAAATAAAAATAAATAAAGTGTATCTCAGGCCCAGTGAGATGGCTCAGCAGGTAAAGGCTCTTTCTGTTGAGCCTGACATTTCGTCTCTGTGACCCACAACATGGAGGAAGAGAACCAACTCTCACAAGTTATCCTCTGACTGCCACAAAGGCACTGTATAGTGGGAATGTATACATGCATGCAAACACTTACACACAAATAAATCAGGAATGGGCTGAGTCCACTATCACTCAACAGGGTATATAATTCGATGTATTATTGTAAGAAAAAAATTTAAAGCAATGTCTTACTATGTACCCCTGCCTGATTTGGAACTCACTACGTAGATTAGGCTGGCCTTGAACTCACAAAGGTAGGATCTGCCTCCAAAATGCTGGGATTAAAGGTATTCATCATCACATCTAGCAAAGAAAAACATAATATTTAAAATACAGATTTGAAAGAAATATCCTCACTTGAAGAAATTAATTAACTATATAGAAAATCCATCATGGTTACCAGATAACCTGGGACTTGATAAGGGACCAGCAAGATTGCTGAATACAAAATCAATATCCAGAGCTTAACAGCTGGAATGTACTATTGCTGGCCAATGATAAACGCCATAGGAGAAAGGTCTGTTGTAACAGCCACCGGAGTTCAAAACACCACCCACCACCCTCCTTCTGCATCATGAAAATCACCCTGGTTAGCTCCATTTCTACTATTTCTTCCCTCAGACTCATTCTCCATCTGGTGCCAGACATGACCTGGTGGCACACTCCTGTAATTCCAGAAATTGGGAATTGGAGGCAGGGGGGCGAGGAGCTTAGGGTCAGCCTCAGCTACGTAAGTGAGCTCTAGGCCAGCTAGGGATACGTGAGACCCGATCTTTAAAAAAAGAAAAGAAAAACCTCCATTCAGTACTTAATGCTCTTTTGTAAACATAAATTAAAGCATGTCACGCTGTTCCTTTAACCTTTTAATAGCTACTCATTACGTATAATTAGAGCCCAGTTCTTTTAGCCTATGCCCTGCACAACCTGGCCCCAGCGTTCTCCAGCTCTCAGCACTGCCCACTCCCTCCACACTACCCCTCCCCCCCAAACGCTTGCCCCAACACCACCCCTGTGTGCGCCTCACCTGCCTACTCTAAGGTCACTTTATCCCCTCTTCATTTAGTAGACCGTTACACAGAACACTGCTTTTAATCGTGGATTATTTATACGCTGTCTTGATTTCCCTCTAGCCCATAAGTTCTATGAGGTAAAAGCCTTATCTCTGACAGTTCCCAAAGCATTTGATACACAGCCCAGGAGCTGTCACATACCAAATGCTCAGTAATTATCTGCTGACTGACATCGTCAGTGAATGGCTGGGTGGCGGTGTGCTCATCAAAGGCCCGCTGCACCATTTGCAGGTTTCCAGTCCGGCTTGTTTGGAGGAATGGAGTACCACCCTCCCAATAGCAACCTATCTGAGTGAGGAGTCAAAAAGCCTTCCAGGGAACCAGTGAAGATTTGCGGGTTGGTTTAGGGAAAGCATGGAAGTCACAAAGGAGGGTGGGAGCTGTATCCACCCACGACTCTTACTCCTTCTCAAAGGAGTAAGAATTCAAACCATGGTTTGCCAATGGACTTTGCCATGCAGTGCCACTGTTCTGTAATTTCTGTGGCATATTAAGGGTTTGGAAGACAGCAGCTGCAGGAATAGGCCAGGCAACTGGGCAGTTTTTTGTCATCCTAACATCTCAGGAACATATGGTACCTCACGGAGCTACAGTAGGAAGGGTGAACAGAAACAGTGACTCCCCCCAGGTACCCCAAGACTTGACCAGACACTCAAACATGGCCACCCCAGGAGTTCCCAGAGACTGTGATAACCCTGGGAGGGTTGGAAAGCTCAGAGATGGTGTCTGGAAATATTTCTAAGGGGCTGCTACACAGGCTCTAGTGTCATTCCTGTCATGGATATGGCCTTAATGACTTCAGTTGCCATGAAAACCCTCAGAGCCCTTGCCAAGAAGGTTCCCTGCCACCATACTCAGGCTGCCAGCCTGGTGTCACTGCAGCCTAGAGGACACATAGGGCCACTGTGGCATTGCCACCTGGTCATTAGTGAAAGTGTCTTCCTACAGGCTTCCCAAAGCAGAGAGGGCTCTTTCCAGGACTCCCTCCAGGGCTCACAATGTTAATTCTTCAGTTGGAAATTAAGGAAGCAATGTTTCAGAGGCCACCTAATGCCAGAATAGTGGCTGCTGGCAATTCTAGTATCTCTGATTCACCACCAATTCGGGCACATAATAGGTACCCCCTACTGGTTAAATGCTTGTGCGAGCCAAGTGAGGAGGAGTGTTATAACTGCCAGGGACCCACGAGAGGCAATCTTCCTGTTTGTTTGTTTCTTTTGAGCTCATACACTGGCACACCACAGGATGTAACAAGGGACCGGCAGAATCCTGCTATCTCCCCTGTTAAAGGGCAATTTCTGGAGGCCTGCTCTGCACCTACCTATAACCTCCCCCTGAACCGCCCCTTCCCTCCCCTGGCCACTGCATCTCTCCTGCAGTCTCTGACCACCTGGAGTGGCAGGAGTTCAAGCACTCAGTGTAGAGTTGATGGCTACAGTGGCAACACAACCATGTCTACTCGGACTCCCCAGTGAAAAGGCATGAAAAGTGCTTTCAGTGGGAAAGCACTTCTCAGGCAAGCATTAGGACCTCAGTTTTACCCCCAGAGCCCATGTGGAAAAGCCAGGTATGGTGACATGTACTTGTAACCCCAGCGCTGGGAAGGCAGAGGCAGGAGTATTCCTGCCAGCCAGTTTAGTCTCTAATAGGTGAGCGCCGGGCCATTGGGAAACAAGACAGCAAGGTGAGATGTCTCCGTGGACAAAAGCTCTTGTCACAACCTTAGTTTGATTCCCACAAATCATGGTGGAAGGTGAAAATCTTCAACACTGGTGCCTCTCTCTCTCTCTCTCTCTCTCTCTCTCTCTCTCTCTCTCTCTGTCTCTCTCTCTCCCTCTCTTTCCCTCTCTCTCTGTCTCTCTCTCCCTCTCCCCCCCCCCTCACACACACACAGGTATGTTCTCACCTCCAGGAAGACAGCACGTGAAGACACTACACTTTACACAGGCCTGGCTCCCCTTCATCCCCAAACCCCAGTGACACCTGAGAGAGCCACACTGTGACCTACCTCTTGTCCTCTTCCACCTGAACGCCAATGGAGTGAAACTCTCTTCGGCTCCTGTTCTCGGTGTCCGAGTCTGAGATTGTCTCCACCTGGAGGCAGCATGGAGGAGTCAACAGCTGTGGCTAGCCAAAGAAACACTCGATCCACATAGGACTAGAACGGCTAGAGGTGGCTATGCACCAAGCTAGCTGGCAAGTCCCAAACAAAAGAGAGTGGAAGTATCAATATGGAAGCCACTGCGGTCACTCAGCACTTGCCAAGAGCATGGTACCAGAGAAAGGGCCATGGACTGTTTAGAGGCAGCCTCATCCATCAATGACCAAGATGGGTCTACTTGCAGCTCAGGGGAAGTTGTTTGTTGTTTGTTTAAAGGTCTGTATATGCAGAAGTCCCTTTTGATATCTCCCTCCATGTGTTCCCAGCTACTCAGGGCAGAGTCTGCCAACCGTACCTGCACCCCAATGGACGG